AATGAAAAAGTTAGAGAAACAGATTTTGAATGATATATTTTAAAAAGTTACACATAATATACAGTATGAAACCTTTATTAAAATCATTTAAAGCCTTTTGTTTGATATTCTTTTTCTGAATTGCAAAATGCAGGTTATATAAAACAAGTTTTGACATCGTGTTCTCAGCAGTGAATAAACACATTACAAGTCTGACCTTGCAGTAACATGTTAGCAATCATTTTCATAGTTTTATCTGTTAGAACAGCCAGCCTAATATGTTAATTACATTAGCAATCATCTCCATATTTTTAACTGTTAGAACAGCCAGCCTAATATGTTAATTACATTAGCAATCATCTTCCTAGTTTTAACTGTTAGAACAGCCAGCCTAATATGTTAATTACATTAGCAATCATCTCCATATTTTTAACTGTTAGAATAGCTTATACCATTCTGTAAATGTTTTAGTTACAATGACATACAAGCTTTCAATCCATGCAAATAATCCACCAATTTCTACATTAACAATTTTTTAGCAATGTTGAAGCTAAACATATTTGGCAGTGCTACTTTTTTTTACTGAAACTGCATTAATAACACACAAGTATGAAATGCTATTCTAAAATTGAAACTAAGAGTACCATAAATACAATATTGTAAAATTAATTGTACAACTACAAATTACACACTGATGCATGCATATCAAAAATAACAATACCCAGAAGAACACACAAGTTCATTTATACACAACTAAGTTTTATGAACATTTATAATTTTATAACAACTGGTGCTACTTTAAATCATTGATTTATTTTTGTATGAGTTGTTCTAAGAAGTACTTCTTTCATAATAAACTTATTATGATATTTAATCTCTTCCCCCCTTTTTCAATTCTATTTTTTTTTCTCCATATTGTATGTTCTTTTGGGGAGGGTATCACACACACAAGACCTGAAGTATAGAAAATAAACTATGTCAACAAAACCAAGCCTCATATTTTAGCTGTGTTTTTACTTACCAGGACTGTTGGTTATGTTAGCTAGCGCAGCAAGGCTTTGTAAGTTGGTGGCATTTAGATCTGGAAGAGGCAAGAATGCAACTTTGTTCAGGCCAAACTGACAAAAATAAAATAACGGAGAATCTAAGCATTAAGGAAAAGGACAGAAGCTGGTCAGAATTTACAAAGACAAGAATAGGAATTTCTCTGAGACAGTGAAAGAAAGCAGAGATTGCACAATATAAACAATCACAAAAGAAAAAGAGAAGAGTGCAGTAAACTGACCTGAGGAGTTATTCCCTGAAGTAGGCAAAGACAGACCTGCAGTTACCCCCTGACCAGTCAGTCCCTGAAGACTCAGGGAATTGATGCCTGAATGAATACAAAAGTTACAGAACAGGACAGCAAGGAGAGCTCTAAACAACAGACCAATCCCAAAACATAGAGAACAGAGAAGATGGATCAATAACTTGCTTAGTTCTTTTGTAAGGGTCTCGAAGACAATTACAGTACATAGTAAAACATTTACAAGCAGATTAACATTAAACAGCTGTAACTGTTGTATTATGCTTTTAGAAAAATGTTCCAACTTAAAAAGAAATTAAATCACATCTTCAGTTACAAAGAACTATAAACTGTACTGTTAGTCTTTGTTAACTTGATTAGTATAATACTGAGAAAGGAGATATTAATAAAATTGAGCTTCTGGTCTGATAAGTAATATCAAAACTCAGAGGACAGAATTATAAGAAGGATCATCTGGTCTACCTATCAAATCCTACACTTGACAAATATTAATAAGAGGAATCTCCAATGTTCTTAAACAGAATATTAATACAGAACATTCCTAATCTGCCTTTTAGGAACAACACCTGTATACAGTATTAATAACAGCAAGAATTAGTATGCCTACCAAATATAATACTCAAAAACAAAACATCAATAAGTAAAGAATTTATTCTACCAACACAATGCAACATTCAGAAACAAGTATTAGATTTCTTAGTTATTATCTGTTATTAACTCACCCCATTATATAAGTGCTTTAGTTACAATGAAAAGCTAATGATGTACAAACTTTCAATCCATGTGAATAATCCACCAATTTCTACAGTAACAATTTCTTATTAATGTTGAAGCTAATATAATCGAACATACTACTTTATTACTGAAATTCTGCATTAATAGTACAACAGACCTAACCCAAACATTAAAAACAGAGAAAATGGATTAATAACTTGCTTAGTTCTTTTGTAATGGTCTTGGAGACAATTATAACACAACAGACCCAACCCAAACATTAAGAACAGAGAAAATGGATTAATAACTTGCTTA